ATGTGCAATTTGAAGCTTAGGTGGGCTGGTGTGGGGAGGTACCAGGAGCCTTAGCCTCCAATCCAGGAACAATTGTAGGTGTTCGTATGTGACTATTTGTTTGTAAACATAGAGGTGGACATATCGTTGGAGCCCTGTGTTCTCTTTTCCCTTGTAGTCTCTGGCCCCCATCCCTGGTGGGAAAGCACTGTTTCTCATTGTGGAGGGTAGTTTCCTAAGGGAGTACTTCTGTTGGGTTTGGTCCCAGATTTGAATTGAAGATAGCTGGGTTTGTGATCCTCAGCAAAGCCCTTTGGGTACGGAGCACCCATATGTAAAATTGGGATAGGTCCATCCCCATCATCAGAGACTCGAGGTCCACCCAGTGTCTTTTTTCAGGGGTGAATGCCAGTGTACAATCTGGGTCAGCTGCGCTGCCAGGTATAATCCCCTAGTTTTAGGCCGGTATAATATGTTCAGAGCCACCCTCAGGTGCCTATTCTGCCAAATGAATGTGCTCGTTGTATGCCCGCTACGTCACCACGGGTGACCCTCACTGGAATGGCCTGAAACAGGAAAAGCAATTGTCGTAAAATATTCATTTTAATTGAGTGTATGCATCCCTACCAGGAAATTGGCTTATCTGTCCATTGTACTTTCTCATCTTTGAGAAGGCTGGTGTTTAATTTCCAGGACCAATTTGAACTATATTGGAGCTTGCAAAGGGTGACCGGAATTTCAGCATGATCGGACCAGGTTATACTACTGATGTCGAGGTGTATCACCTTGCTCATCACCGACCCATTGAGGAATATGTTATCTATTCTGGAATATGTATTATGTGGTTTGAATAGAATGTGTAGTCTCGGGTGTCGGGGTGTTGGAGTCTCCAGGCATCTAGCAGTCCAGTGTGCCAGAAATGTGTGTAGCTGCCTGTCCTACCCCCGTGTCCCTGTGACCGTAGGGTTCCCGTTTCGAGCTGCAGTCGACCGCCGGACATGGCACTGCGTTAAAGTCTCTGCCCACCATAAGTAACCCCTGCCACCCCCCGCACCCGCAACCAGAGTTTCCCAATTTGACCAGAATTTAGCCTCTGACTGGTTGGGAGCATACACATTAATGAGATGTATTTTGGAGTTGTAGAGGGTACCCGTGATATACAGATATCGTCCCTCTGGGTCAGCCTGGGTGACCGTTATCTGGAGCGGGCTTCTCTTATGTACCAGTATCGCTACCCCTGCGCGCTTGCGCATATTTCGTGCCCCATATACCATATTGTAGGACCTGTTTGTCAGTCTGACTGGTGCCAACTTGGGGAGGTGTGTCTCCTGCAGACGCGCTATAACTACCTTTTTGGTTTTTAAATCCTTGAGAAGCAGAAGCAGTCTGTTCAGGCTATTGAGCCCCTTAACATTAAGTGAGAGGATTTTCAAAGCCATGTTGTGCAGTAGCCACTAGGATTGTGATCTGGTAGGCCCCTCCTCTCCCTCCTCCCCCCCCCCCATGATAATCTGGTTTACTCTTTACCAGATTAGGTTGGGGGTATTCGCCCCCCCTCCCCCCTGTTTGGCGAAGACATGTTCACCCCACAGGCTTGGTGACTCACCGCACATATCCACTTTTCTTCATTGCACAACATTTACATATACACATGAACAATAAAGGAGACAACATTTGTTGACAGTCAAGTTGTTATTCCCCAGTGCTCCCCTTCCCCATCCTCCCCTGACTACGGGAATTATGTTGTTTCTTGGATAGGAGGTTCCTCTTATTACGGTCCTGTAGCAAAGCCCATATAAGGCTTGTGTCGCCGGTATGACACCTTAGTGTGCAGAGCCTGTGAGGGAGTCCTGCGGAGTGCCTCATCTGAATTCATTAGTAATGGGTGCCACTTATCCTGTCCTGCATAGTGGACTCAATGATGTATTTGTCATTGTAATCTTATATGCATATTGACTGGTTTTTAATTATTTATGTTTTGCATTTTTAAGGTATAACAATTTTTGTAGTTTTTTTTTTTTTTTTTTTAAACAAATGCTAGTATCACCCCCCTAGGATTAGGTTGGAGAGATCTACCACCCACCCCCACACACACACTTTTGAACCTATTTTACAGCATATCGGGTGTCCCCCTGCAGTATGACCAGTAAATATATTGAGTGGCTGCTCCTGCCCACCTCTGCCCACCCCTGGGTCCCCCCCAACCTCCATCCCCACCCCAGGGTACCCCCACAGGTGTGTGTGTGTCCAAGCAATATAGCTTGGTTGCTACTTCTAAGTGCTACTTCAAAGTGTGTGATTGGATATATTCTGGAGAGTTTTAATGAATCTTCAACTGTTTAAGATTTTTCTAAGAGTTTTCTTTTTTACTGTTACAGGTAAGATCCATTTATAGGAAAAGATTACGGATTGCACAAGGTTTGGTTTCCTGTTGGTAATTGGCAAGGCATTTGAATAGCTAGGTGTTTGCTATTGATTGTTGGTTAATTAGCTATTGTTTGCAAAAAGGCATAGGCCAACCCAGGTGTAAATCATTCCTAGTGGGTGGTGCCTTTAGGAGTTATATAAGGGTTCTGGTCATTGGCTTGGCTAACATAGCTTGGTTGCTGCTTCAAAGTGTGTGATTGGAGATATTCTGGAGGTAATCTGAAGTATAAAGGAGGACAAAAAAATAGTTAAGATTTGTTTGATTTAAATTATTCACCTCATTAAAATGGCAGACTTAGTTCAGTGTAATAGTTGTTATGCATTTGTTTCACTTTTTGGAGATTTGGATGCTGTCTAATCTGTAGACAGTTCTCCATATTGCGGCAGGAGATTGTATTTTTGAAGTCTGAGATTGGTAAATTATCTGGTAAACAAACTCAGGCTGGTACTGTTGCAAAGCCACTGCCGCACAGACGTAGTAGGAATGGCAGATGGTTTACTGTAGGATCTGGTAGACGTAGAGTTGTGGATAAAAGGCATATTGCACAATTTGTTGCTTTACATAATTCATTTTCAGCACTTTCAGAGTGTAATGGTGTTATAGAGACAGGCTCAGTGTCACGTATTCATCCGCTTATAGAAATGTGGTTAATGACATTTACTGTCCACACAGGAAAAGTTGTGCCGAGCAGCAACCTAATCCACAGAAGGTTTAATGCTGAGCAGTAATTGTGCAAATAAAACCTGGTGTCATGTATTCATCCGCTTATAGATAAGTGGTTAATGACATTTACTGTCCACACAGGAAAAGTTGTGCCGAGCAGCAACCTAATCCACAGAAGGGTTAATGCTGAGCAGCAATTATGCAAATGAAACCTGGTAACTGACTTTGGGGTCAAAGGCTGGTTACAGCCTATCAGAACTAAAGGAGGGGTATTTAGGCCCAGTTCTAAGCCTGCTCAGTGCCCTGTCGTGGTTTCCCTTGTGGTTGTCCGAGAGCGCGTTCCTGTTTATAGTTTTCTACCTGGTTTTTGACTTTGGCTTTGTTTATTGACTTCTCTATATTCTGGTATCCTGACTCCTGGCTTTCCTCATCGCTGTGTCCCTTTCTGTGTTTCCTGACCTCGGCTAGTATTTTTGACTATTCTTTGTACGTTAAATCCAGCCATTCTAAGGACCGGTAATACGTTACTTATTTGTCATCCGTGCTGTACAGTTCTACGTGCTGGATCAAACAGTAATCCTGACATTACGACATGGCCATAGATCCTGTAGAACTGTGCTAGCACATAGCTGCTTGCGAGAGGAAATTAGAGGAGAATGATCACCGCATGGATCAATTCGCTCAGGCTTTAAGTACGCTTCTCGCTAGAACTGAGCATCTGCAGCCTGCAGCGTCTCCTCCTATAGAACCTCTACTCTGTGTACCTCCACCCACTGTTAATAGGACTCCTAGCATCTCCTTATCACCATCCCTACAGTTTGATGGCAATATCCAGGAATGCAGGGGTTTTCTTAATCAGGTGGAGTACCATTTTGAAGCCTCACCAGGGTCATTCCCCACGGACAGAGCAAGAATTGGTTATCTAATGAATCAATTAAAGGGCAAGGCCCTTGCCTGGGCTAATCCGTTGTGGGAGAGTAATCGGAGCATAGCTCATAATTACCAGGAATTCCTTGCCGAATTCAAGCTCACGTTTGAGCCATTGGGTAGAGAGGATGACGCCTCCACTGCCCTAATGCACATCAGACAAGGTAACCGGTCTATCTCGGATTATGCTATTGAATTCCGTACCTTAGCTTCCGAGGTAGACTGGACTAACAATGGGTTAATCTCAGCATTCAAAAAGGGTCTCTCAGAGACTATACTAGATGAGATAGCCGCTAAAGAATTACCTAAGAGTCTTAATGAATTTATTACGTTTGTCATGCATATTGATAATAGGTTAAGACTCAGAGAAGTCACCAGAAGCAAGACCAGACGTACGGCTATGTCCCTAGCACCTCAATTCTCTAAACCTGTTTTGTCTAACCTCCCTGTACAGTCCGAACCTGAACCTATGCAGTTGGGGGTCACTAGACTGTCAGAGGCCGAAAAACAGTATAGGAGAAGGGAGGGGTTATGCCTATATTGCGGTAGAAAGGGACATATGATAACTAGTTGTCCAGTGCGTCCGGAAAACTTCCGCACCTAAGAACCTTAAGGGGACAGATCTTAGGTGTGATGGAGTTGTCCTCTAACAAAAACAAAAGTAGATTCCTCCTTGAGGTATCTATTTCCCTTGATAACAAGAAGTTTTCTTGCAGTGCCCTAATGGACTCAGGTGCTGCTGGAAATTTTATTGATGTCCAGTTTATTAGGGGTAATGAGATACCGGTCAGGGAGAGACCTACGCCGCTAGCTGTAGAGGCTATTGATGGTAGACCACTCACACAACCGCTTATAACCCACGAAACTGTCCCTATTACGATCTCCATTGGGGCCTCCCATAGGGAGGAGATGACGTTTCAGGTTATTACTTCTCCATCATGTCCTATCATATTAGGGTTTCCGTGGCTGAGTAAGCACAATCCCTATATTGACTGGGCTAATGGGGAGATATTAGAATGGGGTAAAGAGTGTATGGGGAGATGTATAAAACCATTACTAAAGAAATTGGATACTATTGACCTTCCCACTACCACTCCCCAAACTCCTGGAGTTCCCATACAATACCGAGAACTTCAGGAGGTGTTTAACAAGGCTCAATCCGATGTATTGCCTCCCCACAGAGCATATGACTGTGCCATTAACCTGTTTCCAGGCGCTATGCCACCTAAGGGGGCAGTTTATGCCTTATCTCCCCAGGAGAGTAAAATAATGGAGGAATACATCAAGGAATCCTTGAGCAAAGGGCACATAAGAAAGTCATCCTCACCAGCTGGTGCAGGATTCTTTTTTGTTGAGAAAAAGGGTGGTGAGTTACGCCCTTGCATAGACTACAGGGCACTTAATAAAATCACTGTAAAAAATGCATACCCTATCCCACTCATTTCCGAATTGTTCGATAGACTTCATGGAGCTAAAGTATTTACTAAGCTTGACCTTAGGAGCGCTTACAATTTGGTTAGAATTAAAGAGAATCATGAGTGGAAGACGGCATTTAATACCCATAGTGGACACTATGAATATCTGGTAATGCCATTTGGGTTATGCAACGCCCCGGCCATATTCCAAGACTTTATAAATGATGTACTCAGGGAATTCATTTACTCATTTGTCTTGGTTTATTTGGATGATATTTTGGTGTATTCCCCTGATCTTCAAACTCACCACTCCCATGTGAAACAGGTTCTGCAGACGTTGTTGAAAAATAAACTTTATTGTAAATTAGAAAAGTGTATATTTGACCAGCCTGAAGTCCACTTTTTGGGTTACAACATCTCTGCATCGGGATTTCAAATGGATCCTAAAAAACTAGAGGCTGTACTACACTGGCCATTACCCTCTGGTTTAAAAGCCATTCAAAGGTTTATTGGTTTTGCCAACTATTACAGAAGATTCATCAAGGGATTTTCTTCTGTAATAGCCCCCATCACTAATATGACTCGCAAAGGGGTTAGTAGCACGGCATGGTCCAAAGAGGCTGTGAATGCTTTTGAGACTCTTAAACAAAGATTTTCCTCTGCGGACATACTAAAACATCCCGACACCAGTAAATCTTTTATATTGGAGGTTGATGCATCCGAGACAGGGGTAGGGGCTGTTCTCTCTCAGAGAGAAAGCCAGGGAACACCATTGCATCCTTGTGGCTACTTTTCCAGAAAGATGTCTCCTGCTGAGCGCAACTATGATATTGGCAATAGAGAACTGTTGGCCATTATTCTTGCCCTCAAGGAGTGGTGACATCTTTTGGAGGGTTCCAAGGACCCCCTGTTGATCATAACCGACCACAAAAATCTGGCATATATAGGGGATGCCAAACGCTTGTCTTCCAGACAGGCTAGATGGTCACTGTTCCTTTCACGTTTTAACTTTCTCATTACTTATAGACCTGGTTCTAAAAATACCAAGGCTGATGCCTTGTCCGGGCAATTTGATAATGAGTCAGCTCCGGAACAGGTGACATCTCCTATTATTCCACCAGAGTGTATTATTGCTACTACTGTCCTCTCACTGTCTTCTCCACTGCTTGGCACCATACTGGAGGCCCAGCTTCAGGCGCCCAGTGGTAAACCGTGTGATAAACTGTTCGTTCCCCTATGTGAAAGGGTTAATATCATGAAAGTGTTCCATGACAATATAACTGCTGGACACCTGGGCATCAATAAGTCCACTGCTGCGATCACTAGATCATTTTGGTGGGATTCACTCAGGAAAGATGTAAAGGAGTATGTGCAGGCATGTTCTGTGTGTGCAGTTCCTAAGGTGACTCATGCACTTCCTTGTGGCCTGTTGCAGCCTCTTCCTGTTCCTGAGATTCCATGGTCCCACTTATCCATGGACTTTATTGTTGAGCTTCCTAGCTCTGCTGGGTTCACTACTATTCTCATGGTTGTAGACCGATTTTCTAACATGGCTCACTTCATTCCTCTCAAGAAGTTGCCATCTTCGCAAGATTTGGTTCTAATTTTCATACGTGAAATTGTCCGTTTGCATGGCATCCCCCACAATATTGTGTCTGATAGGGGCTCTCAGTTTGTGTCCAGGTTCTGGAGGGCGTTCAGTAAACAATTGGGATTGATCTCTCCTTCTCCTCCTCCTACCATCCACAGACCAATGGTACAGCTGAGAGGGCTAACCAGTCATTAGAAGTTTATTTGCGTTGTTTTATTAATAGCACACAAGACAATTGGTCTGAACTACTCCCGTGGGCCGAGTTCGCTAGAAACAATGCTGTTCATGACTCCTCTGGGCACAGTCCATTTTTTGTCAATAATGGTAGGCATCCTACGGTTCTCCCCGCGGTATTTTCTGATACTGCCATTCCTGCTCTGGATGAGCGTCTGGCCTCCATTCGGGATACCTGGGTTAAGGTTCAAACTGCTCTAGGGGCTGCTGCTGAACGCTTCAAACATTTTGCTGATAAACGTAGGAGTGCCAACCCGGTGTACCAAGTGGGGGACCGGGTTTGGTTGTCATCTCGCAACATCAAGCTTAAGGTCCCTAGCATGAAGTTTGCCCCCAGATTCCTTGGTCCCTATAGAGTGCTTCGTAGGATCAATCCAGTGTCTTACTCTCTTGCTCTTCCTGCATCTTTAGGGATTCCCAACACTTTTCATGTGTCCTTACTCAAACCTCTTGTCTGCAATAGATATACTGTTCCTTGTGTTCCTCCCCCTCCGGTGGTGGTGGGTGGTCAGGAAGAGTATGAGGTATCTTCTATCGCGGATTCTAGGTTTTCTCGGGGCACTTTACAGTACTTGGTTGTTTGGAAAGGTTACGGTCCTGCTGATCGTTCTTGGGTTTCGGCTCCTGACCTGCATGCGGGCCATAAGATCCGTGCTTTTCACGCTAAATTTCCTCTCAAGCCTGGTCCTGTCCGCCCGGTGGGTGTTCTTCAGGTGGGGGGTAATGTCACGTATTCATCCGCTTATAGAAATGTGGTTAATGACTGTCCACACAGGAAAGTTGTGCCGAGCAGCAACCTAATCCACAGAAGGTTTAATGCTGAGCAGTAATTGTGCAAATAAAACCTGGTGTCATGTATTCATCCGCTTATAGAAAAGTGGTTAATGACATTTACTGTCCACACAGGAAAAGTTGTGCCGAGCAGCAACCTAATCCACAGAAGGGTTAATGCTGAGCAGCAATTATGAAAATGAAACCTGGTAACTGACTTTGGGGTCAAAGGCCGGTTACAGCCCATCAGAACTAAAGGAGGGGTATTTAGGCCCAGTTCTCAGCCTGCTCAGTGCCCTGTCGTGGTTTCCCTTGTGGTTGTCTGAGAGTGCGTTCCTGTTTATAGTTTTCTACCTGGTTTTTGACTTTGGCTTTGTTTCTATTGATCTCTATATTCTGGTATCCCACCCCCTGGGCTTTCCTCATCGCTGTGTCCCTTTCTGTGTTCCCCTGACTCCTCGCTAGTATTTTGACTATTCTCTTGTAAAAAGAGAGAGCAAGGAACACAACGTTCCAAGTCCCTGTATAGCCGCCGCACCCACCACCTCAAAACCTCCCCAAAAGGGGGGCAGTGGCTGCAGGGGTCACGCAGAGACAAACGTACCAGTATGAGACTCCAGCTATCTCAGAGGGGCTTAACCCCAAATATAAACACAAGAACAAAGAAATATGCAGACCGTCTCAATTATATGAATGAAACTTACTGCATTGACTGGAAAAATATATCTATGTATAGCGCGATGTTCCAAATATAGAACCTGGCTATTAGAAATAATATGGTCAGAGACCCTAATTAAACAAAGTATATACAAGTGAACCTACAATCCTATGCCAGCCCAGGGTAGTATAGATCAAGAGGTAGTAAAAAGATAACCTCACTCCCCCTTATAATTAAGCTTTATTGTGATCTGCTATAGGGATAGGAGTATACAGTAGCTAAGTCTCTATAATCCATGCATCCTAGGAAGTATCCTGGTCACACTAGAAACATATTAAGAAAAACAGAGAGAGATAAGGACTGAAAATAGAAGTAAACAAATCAGTCAAAAACAGACTGATAATTAGCATTAATAAAGCCTCTCTCCCTGTAAAGCTAGCTAGATAGGCATAGGAAAGAAAAGAAGAAAACGATATAAAATAAAGTTAAATTAAATGGTGATCATGGTGCTCCAAACACCAGTGCCTAGTGCAGAAAAAACGCCCAACGTACGTTTTGGTGCAGAGAGATGCACCTTCGTCAGGGGCCAACAGATAACTGAAGAGAAGCCTCTTAAATACCCCAATTGCCAGGAAGCATGATTACCTTGTAGCCAATGGAGTGTGGGGGTGTATACCTCCCCAGCTGCCTCTAATATCCTGGCTATTCCTCTGTGATTGCTAATGCTCATTCATCCGTATGAAGGGGAAATCCCTCAGCCGGTCACGTGACCTGTGATGTCATGCGTCACGTGATGTATCTGGCATTCTCCTAATGGGGCGTGTCTCATTCATCATAGTGCTGCAGTACTGCCCATCCGAGCCTCTCCTGTCCATCATCCTCACATGGGTTGATCCCCTGTGACAGATGGGCGGAGCTAGGTATTCTCTGTGTATGGAGAAACCGAAATTGTCCAAATTAAGGCTCAAATTGATAAGCTGCATATTGATAATGTATCATTGCAAAGTACCAATGTGTACTATATAGGATGTACTGAATCATCTGAAAATATAAGGCAGTGCTGATTACATATTATTCTAATATTGAATCTATTAAAGATGTAGTAAAGAATATGAGAGGACACCCCAATAATAAGAGAAAAATTGAATGATAAGGGGTCCTGGATGTATTGTTAACTCCCACCTCCGGCCCCAGGCAAGGATATATGATAATAAATATATTTAGTAAGTTCATAGGACCCATGCTAGATGCAAATTAGCATGGTACATCCTGTCAGCTTATATCCTGTACACTGAGTCACTTGACAATAAGGAACCTCTCAGCTAATCTTCAGATATGACTTAGTCCAGAAATAAAAAAAAAAAAATAATAATAAGGCTAGCATTCTTTTGTCAAGGTCTTTAAACTTATGGCACCTGAGGTTCCTAGTTGGTCTCCCCATATACAAGTACTAGCCAGGCCTAGTCTGATAGCCGAGATCTGGACGAGATCAGGCATTTCAGACCGGTATGGCCATTGATATTTCATTCATGCTCGTAAAGCTTGGTTCTGTGTACTACTGGCTGCGCTATAGTCATTATAGCTACTTCCTTGGGAGAATTCAAGCATTAGCAATTTAGTGGTCCTCATCCGATAATCATGAGAATAAATTTATATGATAAAAAATAATAATATAAAAAATAATAATAAATAGGAAAGAATAGTGATAATAGTAGTAATAGTAATAAGCAAAGAATATACCCATTGTGGAACAAACCGCGCTATATTTACAAATTTACAAGTGTATCAGGCCATAAGGCTCACTAGAATAGATTAAAGTGCAGATCACCCACGAAAGTACCACTGCCCGTATATATGTCTGAGTCCCACATCTGGTATCAGTGGATCTGCACAAATGGTGGTTCTCTCGCTAAGTCCCAAGGGTGACAGGGTTTTGAGTTTAGATCCAGAAGCCTCCCCTTTGGAGTAGCTTCTTGTCTAAATCCCCCCCTCTTGGTCCCAAGGTAACCCTTTCAATACCACTAAATCTGATTCCTTCAGATGAGCCCCCATGATGTAGTTTCAGATGTTTAGAGATAGGGGTGTCGATTTGTCTTGTGGGGTTTACCGAATTGACATGTTCCCGTATCCTAAGTTTAAACGTCCTAAAGGTTTTTCCCACATACAGTTTTTTGCACGATCAGGAAAGTAAGTAGATAAGCCCTTTGGACTGACAGTTAAAGAAATTCTTTACTTTGAATTCCTGTGTGCCGAGGGAGTCTGGGAATGTTTTGGAGGGTCTACGTATAAACCTACATGCCTTACATTTCCCACATTGATACGTCCCTAAGACTGGGGACTTCAGCCATGATGTTTTCTGGGGTGTAGTCTTGAGATGGCTAGGGACCAACATGTCCTTGATGTTGCGTCCCCTTCTTGCTGTTACTGAAGCCTTATGTGTGATTACCTTCCGTAAGTGTGGGTCTTGTTGTAAAAGGGGCCAGAATCTGTCCAAGATTTGCATCATTTGATGCCAGCCGGCATCAAAATTCCCTATACATCTTATGACTGCCTGTGATGGCTCTGGGTTATGTTCGATTAGAAGGTCTTTCCGATCTGACAGTAAGGCCCGTTTATAAGCGTGCTTTAAGCATCTATTCGGGTACCCCTTTTGTTTGAATTGGAGTTGTAAGGTCTTAGCCTTTAGTTTAAAATCATCCAATGTAGAGCAATTGCGTCTAAGGCGCAAGTATTGTCCAGTTGGAATCCCTTTCTTTAGGGAAGGGGGATGATGGCTAGACCAATTCAGCAAGTTATTAGTTGCCGTTGGTTCACGGAACAGAGTTGAAATGAGGCACCCTTCTTCTGTCAGCGAGATGGTGAGGTCCAGAAAATTAATTCTATTGCCACCAATTTCACTAGTCAGTTTGAGATTAATATTGTTGGAGTTGAGAGTGTGGACGAAGTCCAAAAACAGTTCTGAGGTATCTGTCCAAATGATAAACACGTCATCGATGTATCTTTTCCAGATTTTTATATGCTTTGTATATTTTACCATATGATCCGTGAATACCATTTGAGACTCCCACCACCCCAGGTGGAGGTTGGCATATGATGGGGCACAAGCCGTCCCCATCGCAGTCCCTCTCACCTGGTGATAATACTTTCCCTGAAAGGTAAAGTGATTGTGTGTTAAGATAAATTGCATCAGATCTTGGACGAATTTATTGTGTCTTAGTGATATTACTGGTTTACTGTCCAAGCTAGCTTTCAGATGTTCTAGTCCAACTTCATGTGGAATCGAGCTGTACAGGCTCTCCACATCAAGGCTACATAAAATAGCGTGACCACTAATTTTTGTTCCTTCGATGATACTTAATGTGTGTTTCGTGTCTTTAAGATATGAAGGAAGTTGAGTGACTAGTTTCCTCAGGATCTGATCCACATAAAGACTGATGTTTTGAGTCAGATTACCTCTACCAGAGACTATGGGTCTCCCATTTAGTACCGGTTGTTGTTTGTGTACCTTTGGGAGTGCATAGAAGGTGGCAGTGGCGGGATTCTTGACAAACATAAAATTATATTCATCCCTGGAAATTAGAAGTTGAGATAAAGCTGTATCAAGGATTATTTTCAACTCTGCCAAGTATTTTTTAGTGGGGTCACCCTTTAGAACTTCATACGTATTGCTATCCCCAATTAGTCTTTGTACCATTGAGACATAATCAGGTTTGTTTAGAATGACTGTATTGCCCCCTTTATCGGAGGGTTTAAAGATAACCTCATCCAGTTCTTTAAGTTTTTTAAGAGAGATATTTTCTTGAGGAGAGATGTTGCTATTAGGTTGGATTGGAAGGTCTTTTAAGTTGATTTTTTCAATTTCATTGCATGTCATCTCCACAAATAGGTCTATATATTTAAAATCCACTAAGTGTGGAGTGAACATGCTTTTCTTTTTTAGATGTGTAAAGGGGGATATCTTACTTCGGATTCGTCATTCGCAATAAGGAGGTCAACCAGCGTATCAAGTGCACCCATATCTGAGACTTGTAAACCAAGATCTTTTGCCCTTTTTTCCTCTTTCATATAGTGAAATTTATGCAGAGCCAGTTTTCTAGCAAACAGGTGTATGTCCTTTGTCCAGCTAAACTTATCAAAGTCTGAGACTGGGACAAAGGACATACCCCGCTGTAAAACCTGCAACTCTGCTTGAGTCGGAGTGTATGAGGACAAATTGATGATCTGGTTATTTACAGTTGTCTTATCTAATATCTTTTTCTTCCCCTGAAGTGTTGGGGTGGTCTGCCTCTGTACCTTGTCCGTGGGGCTGTACTTTCTTCCATGTTGGGTTGGCCTAAAAAAGAGACCCCTCTTTTTAATATACTTTTTGAATTGCGTTCTGATGAGGCAGACGTACTCGCTTTAGAGGAACCACTCGTCTCATATTCTGACGTTGATATTGGTTCAGAGAAACTCCTTCTTGGATTCCTATTCTTTCTATAAACATTACCACTTTTAAAGTCATTATTGTCTCTGATGAATTTGGAATGTTTCCGAATCTTAATATTTTGTTGGAATCTATCCAAATTGCTCTTAAGTTTTGTCTCTAGTGCTTCAAAGTTAGGTTCCCCTTTAAAAGCTGCAATTCTGTCTATCTGCTCATCCACTTCTTTATTAACCCTTTCCAGTCTTTTAGTTTCAAATTTACAAAGGATTTCCATAAATCTCTTAGAACATGTGCCTGCAGCTTCCTCCCACTCTTTTATAAATTCATCCTCCTCAATATGGGAAGCTGGTATGTTCTGTACCCTTAGTCCCCTCGGAATTAGATCTTTTTTAAGGTAATTGTCCAGGGATGCGATTTCCCACCCTGTTTTAATTTGTTGCTGAAATAAGTTAGTCAAACGGTTAAACGATGAGATGATATTATCACTATCTGTAAGGCTTGTAAGATCCTGTTCTGAAAAGACTTTATCCGTATCTTTACACCAGACGTCTCTTTTTGACTTATCGAATAGAAAACTGGCCATGATACACAAACTGGTACTATGGTATTAAAACCAAATTATTTACAAAAAAGAGAACAAGGAACACAACGTTCCAAGTCCCTGTATAGCCGCCGCACCCACCACCTCAAAACCTCCCCAAAAGGGGGGCAGTGGCTGCAGGGGTCACGCAGAGACCAACGTACCAGTATGAGACTCCAGCTGTCTCAGAGGGGCTTAACCCCAAATATAAACACAAGAACAAAGAAATATGCAGACCGTCTCAATTATATGAATGAAACTTACTGCATTGACTGGAAAAAATATATCTATGTATAGCGCGATGTTCCAAATATAGAACCTGGCTATTAGAAATAATATGGTCAGAGACCCTAATTAAACAAAGTATATACAAGTGAACCTACAATCCTATGCCAGCCCAGGGTAGTATAGATCAAGAGGTAGTAAAAAAGATAACCTCACTCCCCTTATAATTAAGCTTTATTGTGATCTGCTATAGGGATAGGAGTATACAGTAGCTAAGTCTCTATAATCCATGCATCCTAGGAAGTATCCTGGTCACACTAGAAACATATTAAGAAAAACAGAGAGAGATAAGGACTGAAAATAGAAGTAAAAAAATCAGTCAAAAACAGACTGATAATTAGCATTAATAAAGCCTCTCTCCCTGTAAAGCTAGCTAGATAGGCATAGGAAAGAAAAGAAGAAAACGATATAAAATAAAGTTAAATTAAATGGTGATCATGGTGCTCCAAACACCAGTGCCCAGTGCAGAAAAAACGCCCAACGTACGTTTCGGTGCAGAGAGATGCACCTTCGTCAGGGGCCAACAGATAACTGAAGAGAAGCCTCTTAAATACCCCAATTGCCAGGAAGCATGATTACCTTGTAGCCAATGGAGTGTGGGGGTGTATACCTCCCCAGCTGCCTCTAATATCCTGGCTATTCCTCTGTGATAATGCTCATTCATCTGTATGAAGGGGAAATCCCTCAGCCGGTCACGTGACCTGTGATGTCATGCGTCACGTGACATATCAGGCATTCTCCTAACGGGGCGTGGCTCATTCATCATAGTGCTGCAGTACCGCCCATCCGATCCGAGATACGGATAAAGTCTTTTCAGAACAGGATCTTACAAGCCTTACAGATAGTGATAATATCATCTCATCGTTTAACCGTTTGACTAACTTATTTCAGCAACAAATTAAAACAGGGTGGGAAATTGCATCCCTGGACAATTACCTTAAAAAAGATCTAATTCCGAGGGGATTAAGGGTACAGAACATACCAGCTTCCCATATTGAGGAGGATGAATTTACAAAAGAGTCGGAGGAAGCTGCAGGCACATGTTCCAAGAGATTTATGGAAATCCTTTGTAAATTTGAAACTAAAAGACTGGAAAGGGTTAATAAAGAAGTGGATGAGCAGATAGACAGAATTGCAGCTTTTAAAGGGGAACCTAACTTTGAAGCACTAGAGACAAAACTTAAGAGCAATTTGGATAGATTCCAACAAAATATTAAGATTCGGAAACA